TTTAATAGCATGAAATGTTAAAATAAGTAAATAAGGTAAAACATGATGTAGTAGGTAGAATAACTAAGTTTACAAAGACATGGTGCTTTCATAGTCATGTAAAAAAAAAAAAAGAAAACCAGCTTTTTTCTTCAGCATGCACTAATTTACACCCTCACATTTTAATAGTGTGTCATATTGTCCAGTTCAACCTTGCTTGATATGTGTGGGTGTGTTCTTGTACTTGCTACATAGTGAGGACCAAAAAAGTTTTCTTATTCCTTTGGCTACAGAGTGAGGACATTTTTGTAAAGTGACCTGGTTTTAGGCTTCAGGTTAGAATTATGTTTGGGTTAGGGTTTGGCATTTAGTACTGATGGGTAAGGTTAGGGTAAAGCGCCAGGGAATGCATTATGTCATTGATTGTCCTCACAAAGATAGAAGTACAAGTTTGTGTGTGTGTATAATTAATCTTTACTGAGGTTTACTGAGGGTCTGTTTTGCATCTGCTGTATTTTTAGCTCCATTAACGAGAAGCAGCGTTTGGCTCTAGTGATAAGAGCCACATTATTAAATGAACATTTGTAATTCATATTTCAGTAAGTGATTTAAAAGCCCAAGAGGAAGGGATAAGGTTGTGATTTGATTAACAGATGTTTATTATTTAAAATATATTCTCAGATGCCATCTGTATTACTGTCTGGAAATGTTTATAGAGGGCTTGCATGTGCTGAATAGAAATGACTTTGGTACAGGAGCTGTCCACTGTTTGGTAGCGTGTGTTTTTGTGTATTTGCATGTCATATACACATCTTTACTATAGCATATGTGTGCTTATGAAATGCTTTCCCAACAATTTAGAGAAAAAGACTATTATCTCATATGAATTACGTTCATAACTAACATCTGTATTATCAGTTTATGCACAGCTGAAACATGTAATATGACTGCAGGAAGTACTATGACATTCATGTAGTGCAGTACAGAGAAACAGTGTGGAATGTAGTATGACCTTTTTTTATTGGAGGCACAACTAAAAGTTATTTTCGTTATCAGATAATATGACAAGTATTAGCACAATAAAAACAACTAATGTTTTGTCTATAAAATGTCAGAAATAAGTACAAATGTATGTAATATATTTCCTAAACCCAGTTGTATTCAGGTACCTTGTTTTATTTTACCAACAATCCAAAACCCAAACATATTCAGCATATTCTCATTTGTAGTTTGACCTAGAAAAGAGTCATATTCTTACATTTGAGAAGGTGGACCCAGAGGATGATTAGAAATTTTGAATGAAAAGTGAAAATGAAAAAAAAAAAAAATCACCAAATCATGGCAGCTCTAAGTGGTTTTATGTGATTCACCTTAATGTATCTTTTAATTTAAATCATATTGTGATTGTGAAGACATATCAATTATATGGCGTTAACAGAGAACATTTTGCTTGTTAATCATTCTGATAGATTAAACAACTATGTGACAAAGGCAGCATTATAGTCTATGTGTGAGGGGCTTGTGTGACTTTTTATGTTTGCGGGCCTGTCAGCGATAGCTCACTAGTGTCTGTGTCAATCTCATGAAGAGATCCCTCAGCTTTTGGCACTGAGCTGCCCAGCCTGCATTAATCTGCTTAATAGGGTCAGAACTCTGGTCCAAAAATACCAGCACTACCAGGCAATGTCCTCACACAGATCACGGCTAGAGACCCCCACCACACCACAGGAGCATACAAAAGGGTTCAACCTACCAAGTCAACAATACTGCATTCACTGTGGCTTGAAGTGGTTGTTCTTCACACAGAATGAAAAGTTAGCTGTGATGCCTACACACTTGTGTGAAAGTACTTAACAAATACACTAACTGTACTCTGCTACAAACATGTGGCACACTGCAGATTTATTCTTGTGGCAATGAATATTATTCACTAAAGTAAATTTGGACTTCAGTTTGTGATGAGGAGATTTAAAAAAAATTATTTAGATTCGTTTATTACGCAAGAGACATATAATTACAACACCCACAGCAGAGGTAGCTTTAACAAAATTTGCAGTGTGGTATGTAGTTCTACAGTCTATACACTAGTTTAGTGTAATATTAGTATAATGTACAACATTACACACTGCTGTATATAATAATCTATATTGGAGATTGGAAAGGATAAATAAGATTGACTAAAGTAGTAAAAGCAGCAGAAAACGGAAGAATTAGAGAATTTGAGAAATAAGAGGCACATTTTATTTTCTGATAGTTTTCTGATTAGGATCATGTGATAAGCTGTGTGTGTATAGGGTTCCCAAGTAAAGTATGGAGAGATCTGGGGATTTAATTGCACCGTTCCAGTCTAGAAGGTCTTGAGCACATCATTTAAATCACTGAGAGATAGTTCGACACGTATATGCACGCCCACACACATGCACATTCATATGCACATATACGCAAAATGAAAACTCTTTATTATCATACAATTTTTCTTTGTTTTTCTGCTGCCTTTGTGCATGTCTATTGGCATGTGTGTACATGTGTGCACATGTGGCCTTTGCCACAGCTCTAGTTTCCTTTAGCATAAGGTTACCCAGTGTAGTCTGGCAGAAAAGTTATTCTGGCCCAAACTGGAGACGTAGCACAAAACTTGCAATGATGGCCTAAGTTGGGACACTTTTTACTGTTTTTAATTTTTAGAGCATATCTTACACCAGTGGTCTGTAGAGTTCTTACTAAGGAAGGTAAGGTGTGTGTTGCTGTTTGTTGCTTTGTCTGTGAGCCTGTCCAGGTATTTTAAGTTGCAGCTTCCTTTGAGAAAAAAAAGCTAGTGAGCAGATTTTGCACTGCAGCTTTGAAATTAAATTGCTTAGCCAGAGACAAAATTTAGACTATTTTGAGTTAGACCTCCCTCAATTCACTAAATATATTCCTTAAGTACTGTACTACTGTAATTAAAGGAAAACACCTGAATCTGTGCAGCTTAACTGAACTGTTCTGGAAACCATTTGCCTCTTTGGAGAGTCAGAGCAGTCATACATCATTCAATTAGAGGCAGACATGTCAGACTTGGCAGTTGTTTCTGTTAAGTTAGGAAAAATTAAATAATGATGGCTTATTGAACTCTTGACATTACATGACAAATTGATCAAGTGGAGCTATCACTGACTAAACTCCATGTATGGAACTAAATGTCTTGTCAGAAGACACTTGTTTACACATTCTATGAGAATGAGAAAATTGTATCTACTCAGAGAGTCAAATTATGTCAGGAGGAGATGAGGAGATGATTTGATTTACATGTATTGTGTTACTTTTTGTGTAGCTTTTATCATATGATTTATTACATGGTGCAGTCCTACATTAAAACTTGGTCTTGTAGCTGTCTTATTGATTTTTTTTTCCAATTTGGTCACGCTAGATATATTTATTAGTTTTAAATTAGCCTCCTTCCTGTATGCTCAATCAATCACAGCTATTGTTTCTTTTATCCCCCATCATCATCTGTTTCTTCTGCTCTTGATAAACCACCCCTCTTTTCTTGTCAGGCCTCTCTCTCATCATCCTGTCTATCCATCCACCCGCCTAGCGACTCCTATCCTCTCTCACTGTCACTTTCCTTCTTCTACATTATGTCCTTATCCCACCCAGCCCTTCCACCCACATCCGTCTTCCCAGCATTTTTCATGTCATCCTCCTTATTCACTCCGCTGGCTCATTTCTCTCTTTCTCTCTCTCTCTCTCCCAGCAGGACTATCACTGACACTGGTCGTAGGTGGTGACTCATCTTTGAAGTCTTTAATTAAACATCTGCAGGTGCCAGCACTTGGTCACACACACACCCACAGGCACATGCTGTGTTTTTATTCCTTGTGGGGACTTTACATCGACTTACATTCATTTCCTGTAGACATATCCTAACCTTAACCATAACCACTACTTGCCTAACCCTAATCCTGACCCTAACCTCACTCTAACCTTAAACCATGTTGCCACCCTAAAATTCAGTGATTTCCTTGTGGGGACGAGAGTTTTCGGTCCTCATAATGTAAGTAACACAAAGGCGCATACACAGACAGTATAAGCACAGTGCATGCACATTCAGACAAATACACACTAAAGCATGCACACCTCACATATCAGTTTACTATTTCATGTGAGCTTTATGCTGATGAAAAGCTCTTGTAAATTTAATGCAGACACAAACAGTAAAACAGGAACCAAGTGGATTTTCACTTTCAAAGCTGAAGAAAATTATGGGGCACTGTTTAAATGAGAGAGTGTCTGGAGAAAGCTCTTCCTCATGCTATCACAGCACAGCCAGTTAATTATGCACTAATGTATGCAAAGCCCCAGTTTCCTTGCACTATCCTCCTACAGCCTGCATTTGGGTCATTGCAGGGTGTGTACCTTGATTCCTTTTCCTTTTGAGTGGATATTGTGTCTGTAAATATGTTTATGGGTGGGAAATAGACATAATGTGTATATGCCAGTGAATGTATGAACTAGTTAGGTGAAAATATTGTATTTTAGGTTTATGCCAACAACTGGAGACAGTGGTCTGAAAGGTCAGATATATTATAACATCTTATAAATAAGCCCTACATTAGCTACACTTGCATCCCAGTTGCTGTTTTGTTTATTGTCATTTTTCATATTTGCATGACTCATCACAGTGCCTCCACAATAACAGACTATGGAAAGAAGTATCAAGGAGTTTACCACTATAGCTTTCTTTCTAAAAGAGTCAAATCTTCTCCTTCCAGTGGAATAATCTTTTCTCTCCTTCCATCTTCCAGCTGCCTCACCCTCTTCCTCCTCTTTATTCACTCATATCTGTATCTCCCTCTCTCACTCGTCTTTCTGTTGCTGCTGGTTTCCAGAGAGATGGGTATCTAAGGAACAAGAAGTCATGATAGAACATGTGCTTTCAGACGTCATATTCTTGGCACCTGATGACAATTACCGCATACAAAACCATAACTGCTGACAGAAACACACTGACTCTCTTTCTCTCTGTGTCTCTCACTATACAGGTGTTGGAAGAAAGAAAGAATAAAGGGGGGCTGTCAGTTTGTCCTGTTACTATAGGTGCTACTGAAGACTGGATGCTCTGATACTCTGCTGCTCATTCTGGTGACTGAGCCTCCCATCTGTCCATCTGCATCTGTGTGTTGTCTTCTACTGTGGCTCCAAATCTGCACTGGCTGAACCACAGCCATGGAGGTGGCCTTGGTAGACTTTGAGAGCCTGGATGACCTTGATGGCACCCTTGAAGATGAGGTGGACAACTATGCTGATGAGACCACAGCTCTCACGGTGCACATGCCCCCAGGGAATAACAACACAGGCAGCAACTACCTTCTGCGAGCCCCTCAACTTTCCTCTACTCCCTCCTACCACAATCCTGCGCCCTCCCACATTTGGGAATCCACCTCATCTTCCTCTATGCCGCAGCCACAAACACTGGGAGTACCCCAGTCCCCAACGATGCCAGCTTCATGCAGACACGGGCACAGTAGCTGCACTAACATGATCTCCAACTGGAAATTGCTACTAAGCAGTGAGGGCACTAAGGACAGTGAGATGATCTTCAATCGCCTTGCCAAGGAATGCTGCGAGGATCTGTTTGTCGATAAACGAGGGCTGGATGATGGAGACCAGAAAGTCATCATCAACATTGCCGGTCTTCGTTTTGAGACACAACTCAAAACATTGGACCAGTTTCCTGAGACACTTCTAGGAGACCCTTTGAAGAGGATGGACTACTTTGATCCAATGAGGAATGAGTACTTCTTTGATCGGAATCGACCCAGCTTTGATGGGATATTGTATTACTACCAGTCAGGGGGTAAGATCAGACGACCAGCTAATGTTCCCATTGATGTGTTTGCAGATGAAATTGTGTTCTATGAGCTTGGGAATGAGGCCATGGAGCAGTTCAGAGAGGATGAAGGCTTCATAAAGGATGTTGAGATCCCGCTACCTAATAATGATGTGTGCAGGCAGTTCTGGCTTCTGTTTGAGTACCCAGAGAGTTCCAATGCAGCCCGGGGTGTAGCTCTGGTGTCTGTTTTTGTTATTGTCATTTCCATCATTATTTTCTGTATGGAAACTCTTCCAGAATTCAGAGATGAAACTGACCCCATTGTGCCCTCAGTGGTGCAACCGTTCAACCAATCCAGACGTTACTCATCTGTGGCTCCACCCAGTGCAATGGCCGCAACGTTCACTGATCCCTTCTTCATTACTGAGACCGCATGCATTGCTTGGTTCTCCTTTGAGCTGTGTGTGCGATTTTTGGTCTGTCCTAGCAAGAGGGAATTTTTCCACAACCTCATGAATATCATTGACATTATATCCATCATCCCTTATTTTGTTACTCTGATCACAGAACTGGTTACAACGCCACAGGAGAGCTCAGGACAGAATATGTCTTTGGCCATTCTACGTATCATTCGCCTGGTCAGGGTGTTTCGTATATTTAAACTCTCACGTCATTCCAAGGGGCTTCAGATTCTAGGACAGACTCTGAAGGCCAGTATGCGTGAGCTTGGCTTGCTCATCTTTTTCCTCTTCATTGGAGTCATCCTCTTCTCCAGTGCTATCTACTTTGCTGAGGTAGACGATCCTAACACACAGTTTGTCAGCATACCAGATGGCTTCTGGTGGGCTGTGGTTACCATGACCACCGTAGGCTATGGGGACATGTACCCCATTACTGTGGGGGGTAAAGTGGTGGGCACCTTGTGTGCCATTGCGGGTGTGCTGACCATTGCTTTGCCTGTTCCCGTCATTGTTTCCAACTTCAACTACTTCTACCACAGGGAGACAGAGGCAGAGGACAAGTTGCCCTTGGCAGATGCTGTTGAACAAGCCATGAAGGCAGACACAGGAGCCAAACAGGGCAGCAACACCTCACTCAATATAGCTAATGGCATCTGGCAGCGAGACAAAGGGATATAACACTATTAGGAAATTATTAAAGAGAAAGAAAGACTTTGCCACAAAGCAGGAAAAATGAAAGATAAACATAAAGGAACTATACATATACATAAAGGAAACTGACTGATTCAATTTCCTTTAAAGAATGGTCAGTGGGATCAGTGAGATATCTTGTTTGTACCTAGTGAAACATAGGTTTACTAACAATGCATAGGATTTACCATACTTACCTCTTTTGTCTTTAATAGGAAAATGGCATGTTGAAAATAACAAACAAGTGGAAGAATTCAGTATGTTCAGGATTATATGTCACCATATTTCAAGTTTAATTAGTGTTTCAGTTGCATAGAAACAAAAAAATCTTCATTGTCATTATTCAATATGTATTTTATTATTTTGTTTTCATTTTCATTATCATGGCCATTATTCCTATTGCTGATAATATTTTGCACACAAGCTTCACTGTTGAGATTCTGACCACAAGTTAAATGTCACAGTCAGAAGTGTTTATATGACTGTATGTAAACTGCACTGCAGATTCTTGGTTCGGTTTCTAGGAATGACCTTTCTACTGCTAGGTATTATGTGCTACTGCTGGATTTATGTGATGAGTAACAGATAATGGAAAGGTGAGCAACCCATGATATATTTGCAGCACTCAAGTTGGACAGTTTGGGTAATGCCTTTTATCTCTCATCTTCAAAAATGCTGTTCGAGGCATATGTTCTGTCTCACCCAGTGGATGAAGCTTTCCTCAGCAGATGAACTGTGCAAACCTACAAGGCCAGTCCTACAAGACCCAGGTTGTTAAATAAACACAAAAAATCTGCAAAATATTTTTTTCCTGTCAGTGTCTTAAATGCATAACTTATGTATAGTTTCTAGATTATAGCCCTGTTACATTTATTTTAAAATGTATTTATTGTATGTATTCATTATCTTTCATAAGTAGCATGGGTAATGGAGTGCCTTAAATTACAGATGGGTGACTAATTAAAGGAAATACCAACATAAAGGCCACATGATTCACATCATCTTCATGCTCATCAAACAATTGTGACACCCAGTGGCCTGTGGATGGGGGCGCTGTCATCATGGAAGAGACCATTCATTTATACAGGTTTTTTTTTTCTTTAATTGGTCACCTGTCTGTATATAAAGTTGGAATACTGTTGAATTCACCATATATATTCTTACTGTTATAACACCTATGATTATCATGGATATATGCTCAGTATTTTCAGTTTGATTGAAGTTGTAACTTTTCTCCATTATAGCATTGTGAGAGTTATTTTCCTAAAATCTGTTAAACAGAGACATGCACTCTGACCTGAAATACAGTCTACCCCATCTGAAGTTTAGTAGCTCTCATCTGTTTATGAGGTAGATAGAATCCTTAAAATTGTGGATTTCATGCTATAAACATCATCTCCATCCATTAGTGGATATCTTACTGAATCAGTAAACCTTATTATTTTAAAAAACATTGAAAGTGTAGGCAGCATGGTGGCACAGTGGTTAGCGCCGTTGCCTCACAG